CCTCGGCGCGCGCCCGCGGCGGCAGCGACTCGTTCCCGCGGCTCCAGGTCACCTCCGTGGGCCTGGGGGGTCACCTGGGCGTCACCAGGTGTGCCAGGCCCCGCCCAGGTGTGCCAGGCCCCACCCAGGTGTGCCCAACCCAGCCCAGGTGTGCCCAACCCAGCCCAGGTGTGCCCAACCCAGCCCCATGCCCAGGTGTGCCCACCCCGTTATCTGGCACTGACTCGTTCCCGCGGCTCCAGGTCACCTCCGTGGGCCTGGGGGGGTCACCTGGGCATCACCAGGTGTGCCAGGCCCCGCCCAGGTGTGCCAGGCCCCGCCCAGGTGTGCCAGGCCCCGCCCAGGTGTGCCAGCCCCAGCCCCATGCCCAGGTGTGCCCACCCCTGGTTGCCACTGCTCCTGTTTCTGTGAGGTCTGTGGGGATTTGGGGCACACCTGGGGGTCACCTGGGCATCACCAGGTGTGCCCAACCCAGCCCAGGTGTGCCAGGCCCAGCCCAGGTGTGCCCAACCCAGCCCAGGTGTGCCAGGCCCCGCCCAGGTGTGCCCAACCCAGCCCAGGTGTGCCCAACCTCACCCACGCCCAGGTGTGCCCACCCCTGGTTGCCACTGCTCCTGTTTCTGTGGGGTCTGTGGGGATTTGGGGCACACCTGGGGGGTCACCTGGGCGTCACCAGGTGTGCCAGGCCCTTGCCCAGGTGTACCCAGGTGTGCCCAGGTGTGTTATAACTGCCCCCAGGTGTATCTCAGGTGCCCCAGGTGTGCCCCAGGTGTGCTATAAACATCTCCTGGTGCCCGCGGTGTGCCCCCAGGTGTGCCCCAGGTGTCCCCCAGTGCTCCCAGGTGTGCCTCAGGTGTGCCCAGGTGTATCCCAGGTGTGCCCAGGTGTGCTATAACTGCCCCCAGGTGTGCCCAGGTGTATCCCAGGTGCCCCCGGGTGTATCTCAGGTGCCCCCGGGTGCCCCCAGGTGTGCCCCAGGTGCCCCCAGGTGTATCCCAGGTGCCCCCAGGTGCCCCCAGGTGCCCCCATCCCCGCTCACCGCGGGTTGCCGCCGACGGCGCAGGTGAGCACCAGCGTGTCCCCCTGGCGCAGGACGCTCTGCGAGGGGTGGATGCGCGCCGAGGGCGGGTCTGGGGGAGGGGCACTGCCTGGCACCTGGGCACACCTGGGCACACCTGGGCCCAGGCGCGCCCAGTCCCCTCCCATCCCTCCCAGTATAAACCAGTAACCCCAATTCCCCTTTAACCCTCTCCCAGTCCCCTCCCATCCCTCCCAGTATAAACCAGTAACCCCAATTCCCATTTAACCCCTCCCAATCCCCTCCCAGTTGCTCCCAGTCCCATCCCAGTCTCTCCCAGTTACCCCAAATCCTTCCCAGTTTCATCCCAGTATAAACCAGTAACTCCAATTCCCCTTTAACCCTCTCCCAGTTCCCTCCAAGTCCCCCCCAGTATATCCCAATCTATCGCAGTCCCACATTAACCCCTCCCAGTCCCCCCCAGTCCCTCCCAGTTCCCTCCCAGTCCATCCCAGTCCCTCCCAGTTCCCTCCCAGTTTACCCCAATCCCTCCAAGTTCCCTCCCAGTCCATCCCATTCCCTCCCAGTTCCCTCCCA